GTGTACCACCATGCCCGGCTCTAAGAAGCATTTTTTAACACACAGGAAATTACTCACTCAAGGGTGTCTCAGTGGTGGACATTCACTTTGGGAACAGCTCCTCAAGTTCAGTCACCATCGTCACTGAGGGTCTCCTCCCTGGCCGCTCTACCTGCCATTCCACTGGACCAGCAGGATGGCACGGCTCCCTCGGCCACTCTAGCAGCTGGACTGGAAGCCAGATTAATGTGCCTGGTGACACTGCTTGTGTGAGGTCACACATGGATGCAGGGAGATGGGAGCTCCTCACAGTAGGACCAGGGCATCAGGGGTCTGGAAGTGCCTAGCTTGACCACAATGCAGCCATCTTGGATTGTGCCCACTGTGGCTGCCCCAGAGGACCTCTGCTCCATGTCCCCACATAACCTCCCTGCGCCCTATAAACAGGCAGAACAGAATGGTTTATGGAGCCTGGCATTGTGGATCCCGCCATCATTGGTACCAAGAATGTGTCTGACCTCTTGGAATTAGGTTGAGATGCTCAACCTGGCTTAGACGAGGTCACTTTTGTCCTGATCATTACAAAACCTCCTCCTTCTGATCTAAACTGCATGATCCATGATTTGCTGCCACCCAAGTCACAGGGCTATAGAAGTGTTCAATGAACTGTGTATTGTGCCATCTTGAAATGACTTGTGCTTTCATTCCCAAGTTCTCACTCACTGGGACAGAGTCTATCAGGCAGCCCTGGGCTGACCAGGTCTCCGCACTGGTCCTTGTCCTGGTCTTCTTTTCTCTGAGCTCAGCTCCCTGCCACTTGCAACCTAAGGGCCTGCTGATGACTCTTTGCTTACAACTGGGCACCTGACTGGCCCATGAAGGCACACAGTGAGAACATTTTAAAAAGTCTGTCTTTTTCTTATTGTTAATCACTGGAGGTGGCTGATTTGTGTTAGCTAAAGTGGCAACCATCACACTGGTCTCAGAAAGTGGCAAGATTGATGGGTTAAGTGTGTTCGAAGCAAGGCGGGGGAGTCATAACAATGTGTCTTTTACTGTAATACATTTTTTAAAACTTTAAATACCATGTATTTTACTCATTGTACACTTTCCTTCCCCTAATTTTCTTTAATTTATGTATTACTTGTCCATGCATGCCATATGTAATGCTTCTGTTCCCTGTGTGGAGTTGGTGCATGGATGGAACACATCTTCATTCCTTATTTCATCCCCTTTCTTTCCCCTCCCTCCACCTCTCTCTTTCTTTCCATTTTTATTATTAAAAAAGGGAATCTCTCTTGATCCCCTTCCTATTTGAAAAAGATCTATCTTCTTACTATTATCTTTTCTTTTGCTCATTTATTATTTGGGTTTCTAGCTCACACGTCTGACTTACTTCATTTAATATTATGGTCTAGGGGGCTGGGGATTTAGTTCAGCGGCAAAAGTGCCTGCCTGGCAAGCGCAAGGTCGTGAGTTCAGTTCCTGGTACTGGAGAAAAACCAAAACCAAAAAAAAAAAAATATTATGGTCTCAAGGTGCACCCATTTTCCTACAAATGACTCCAGTTTATCCTTCTTTATGGCAGAGTAGTGCTCCATTGTGTATAAATGCCATTCTCTATATTTGTCTACCCAGTGATGGACATGTAGGCTGCCTCCAAGAGTTAGGTATTAGATGATTTGTGCTGCTGTAAACATGGGTGCATATGGTCACTGTGCTATGATGTCTTCAACTCTTTTAGGAAGACACCTACAATGGGAATGGTTGGTTCAAATGGGACTTCTAGTTTTTTGAGGAATCTACAGACTGATATACATAGTGGTTGTTCTAGTTTACATTCCTAGCAAAAAATGTAGAAGGGTTGCTTTTTCCCCACAGCCTTATTATTTGATGTCTTGATAATGGCCATTCTTTCCAGGGTGAGATGGAACCTCAGTGTTATTTTAATTTGTATTTCTCTAATGGCCAGCGATGCTGAGCATTTCTTCACATATTTGTTGATCATCTGTACTTCTTCTGTGAAGTGTCTATCTCACTTGCCTGCATTTGATTGGATCTTTTATTTTAGGGTGTCTACTTTTGGGGGGTTCTAGATATAAGTCCTCTGAGCAAGAGCTGGCAAAATTTTTTCCCATTCTGAAGGTTTTCTTTTTTACTCTGTTGGTTGTTTCTTTTGCTGTGCAGAAGCTTTTTAATTTGATAAGATCCCATTTGTTGATTCTCAGAACTATTTCTTGTGCAACTGGGGTTCTGTTCAGAATGTCTTTGCTTACACATATGACTTCAAGTTTTACCTGTTTCATCTTCCAGCAGATTAGGTGGTTTTGTTTTAACATTTAGTTCTTTGATTCCTTTTGATTTTGGTTTAGTGCATGGTGAGAGATAAGGGTCTAGATTCAGTCTTCTGCATGTGGACAGCCAATTTCCTCAGCTCCATTTATTAAAGAGGCTACCTTTCCTCCAGTGTATATTTTAGGCCCCTTTGTCAAATATCAGATAGCTCAACGTGCTTGGGGCTGTGCCTGTGTCTTCTATTCTGTTCTGTGCATCCACGTGTCTGTTTTTGTGCTAGTACCATGCTGTTTTTAATCACAGTCCCTTTGTAGTACAACTTCAAGTCCAGGGTTGTAATGCCTGCTGCTTTGCGCTTTTTACTCAAGATTGCTTTTGCTATGCTGGGCCTCTTCTGGTTCCATATGAATTTTAGGCTTGTTTTCTGTAGTTCTGTGAAGAATGCTGTTGGTATTTTGATTGGGATTACATTAACTCTGCACGTCAGTGTTGGAATTGTGGCCATTTTGACTTTCGGTTCTGTCTATTCAGGAAGAGGGATATTATTCCATTTTCTGATGTCCTCTCCGACTTCCTTTTTCAGTGTACTGTAGCTTTCATTGCGGAGGTCTTTTGCTTCCTTAGGCTAATTCCTAAATGTTTACTTTTTCTTGGTGCTATTGTGAAGGGGATGTTTTTCCTAATTTGTTCCCCAATGGGCCACATTTTCTATACATGATGACTCTTAGCTTTAGGTCCAGTGGATGGTTTTCCAGCTGCTACCTGTCCTTGCTGCTGGTAGTTGTAGAAACCTGTCCTAGACCTGTTCCTTTTTCTCACTGACATCTATAACTGCTCCACTTTTACTTCAGATACACTCTCGGTCTCAAGAGTTTGGGTTGAACACTAGGAATGTTTCAGAAAAAAAAATGTTTTGAAATTTTTAATGTTAGGGTGCTCTGCATAGCTTCTCATGTAGCCTAGCTTTGTTACTTTTTTTTTTTAATGAGACTTTAATGTGATTTGGTGATAAGAAAGTAAACTGGCTGAACAACAAGCAGAAAATGGGTCTGGGCCTCTCCACCACTCTCCCTCCTGATCTGTCCACATGGGAACCGCAGTCTAGGGAGGGGCTGGGTCTGTCTTTTCCCTGCCAGGGGCTTGGTCAGCTGCAGTGGGCTGTGGGCCTGGGGCAAGCCAGGCACCCGCCACCTGCCTGGCTCTGTGCTTTCTTTGTCAGACAGAGCCAGTCAGGTCTGCACCTGGCCTCTTCCTAGACTCTGGCTCTTAGGGGTGAGATCATTTTCCCAAGAATTGCCAAATAATTCAACCCACAGAAAGGGCAAAACTGGGACAAGCTCAGTGCATGGTATTCAAGCCCATATCCACACAGGGAAATTCCACCCAAGAATCACTTACAAAAACATCAGCAACCCACCCATCAGTGTTGCTGACTTTCCAAGTGCCATTCAAAAATTCACTGAAGTGACTTCAGATTTGGCTTCTTCTAAAGTTATAGTACAAAGGCGTCAGCTGAATACAGTTTCTTGGCTGAGATACCACATTGCCCTTTCTACAAATGTATGAACAGCAGAAACTGACATTGTTAAGGAGCTAATGATAGAACTTTTCATGTATTCTTCAGCAAGGATCACTTAAACCAAGAAAGCATTTCAGCCAGTCCAAAAAGCTACTTTTCTCTAAATCTTGCTATTACTTTCTACAGTTTCTTTCTTTATGCTTTCTTTTTGTGTTTGCTTTGATTTTTGAGACAGGGTCTCACTAGGTAGTTTAGGCTGGCTTTGAACTTACTATGTAGCCCAGGCTGGCCTCAAAGTTGGAAGGATCCTTCTGCCTCAGCCTCCTGAGTGCTGGGATTGCAGGCATGCACTGCGGTGCCCAGCTGTGCTCTCTCTTTTCAAAGTTATTTTGTGTTTGAAAAAAGCAGGGTAAACATGGATCGTTGTTTTTAGCTCTCTTATTTCACTTATTCAGTGAATACTGAGCATGATCACAGGGCCAATGCTCATCCCAAGCCCATGTGAGTTCTGGGTGTGCTCTTGTCTGTTCCCGGAGCCAGAAAGCAAGGCACAGTCCCCAGAAGGATGGTCGGGGCCAGAACAATACCTTCTCCTGGGTGACAGCTGTCTGATTCACGATGAGGTATGTGTGTGGAGCCCCTGGTGGCCACAGGCTGACATGCCTTGTCCTCTGATCCTCATTTCAGCAGGAAGTCTCAACCAATTGAATCTAAAGTCCTTCCAGTAGAGAACGCCAAGCCTTTTCAATCTGTGCTTCGACTTCCTGGGCGAAGCTTATGCAGTACTTGAAACTTACATTACACCTGTCCAACTGATTTCCTTCATTTAACAGAGCTACTATTTTGTAATCGTGCTGATATGTATGTACCACGAAGGTCTCAGTGATGGACAACCACTTCTTACGTAATGAATTACAGAATGCAATTCTTTTCAGAAAAAAGAACCAAAACAAAAGGTCTAGATGCAGCAGCCTCTGGACAAAGTTGTAAAACACATGCACAACACACACCACACATACACACAGACTTACCTGCTGTGAGGATGGTGGCGATTTTGACACCTTTATCTTCATGGCGCAGGTCCTGAAGGAAAGACCCAACTGTGGACAACATTGGTTTGACTACAAATCGACAGCGCTCTTTTCTGGATGGCAAAGTGAGTGTTATCAAGGGAAGGCCATGTCTATAAATAACTGTTACTTCTGTTAAGAAAAACAAAAATACGAATGGAAGTAGTTTTTAAAAAATACTTTAAGAATTCCTAAAAGAATGCTTAAATACAGAGTCCCTAACTCTCTGAATGCCTATACCACCCTGCACTGGCATACTGGGCCTCATCTGGTGCAAGTTCATGGGGGCCCTGCCTTGGGAACATTTTATTACAGCCCATGCCACACTGCCAGGTAATGATCTGCTCAGTGTCTTCAACGGTTTATCTGGAAGAGCAGAAACGCATTAGTACTTAAGTCAAGTCATGACCCAAAATCTTACCATCTGGGGGCACCATGGTGCTGGAGAGGTGTGACTGAGGATATTTTGGGTTTCCATACAGCTTCATGCACCAAGCCTGAAAAAAAGATGAATTCTTTTACTTAGGAGTGGCAAGGCTATAGTGTAGAAGGTTTCTTTTAACCGTATATGACAAGCACAGTAAAAATTCAACTTCCCACATATGTGATACAATCAAAAAATATGGCCAATAGTAAACCTTTTTAAAAAATTATTATGGTAAAGGACACATTGTCCTTTTCTCCCTCAAAATACCACCCTCCCCTGCTGCTTTGAACACACTTATCCCATCCTTCTTGCCACTTTCTGCAGCAGCTGTGGACATCCTGTTTCCTGAGGGTCTTTAGTTGCACTGTTGTGGCTGCCTTGATGTCCTGAATTGATTCAAAATGATTCAAAATAGTTTCCCTTTCCCGGTCATTTTGAATGTGAGGAACAGCCAGCATTCGCATAATGCCAGATCCAGTAAATAAAGCAGATATGGACACAACATTATGTTTTTATTTCACAGAAATTTCCATAAACATTTGATCAATGAGGAGTGACCACAAAACAGTGAATGTTTAAATTTAAAAATTTAGGACTTCCACCATTTAGGAAGATGGTGGAGTGGTGAACAGCAGAGAAAAAGCATCTCTGAGATTTGGTGTCCGGGCATTGGAATACAGCAACAGGAGGAAAACAAGCAGGAAAGTAGTTCCTTGGGACCCAAGAAGAATCTGAAGCAAGAATTGAAGTCCATAGCAAAGAGAGACTTCAAGGAAAAAGAAGGAAGGGGCGCTTTCTTCCTGAGCTGAGACTCACTGCATGGGAGGGGTGGCTCAAAATTGCAAATGCACAATGAGTACTGGCAACCTCAGAGTCCTCCACAGAGAAACACACCAGTGGAACAGAGCAACGGACACTTCAGACCGCAGTGGCTGGTGAGTTATCCAGGTTCAGATACTCACCTGGAGAGGACAATTTGTTGGTAGCTATCTTGGGGAGGGGCCAACAGAGCTCAGAACTTAGAACAGCTGCGGGCTCCATCTAGTGACAGGGTCAGGGACCCAAGTTCCAGCTGGCAGGAGGCACATGGACTGCTACAGGCTGAGCAAATCTGGTTCCAACCTCACAGCTAGAAATCAGCCTGAACTTCAGTAGAACCAAAAGTTCAGGCTCACTGGGATTATGTACTACCCCCATCATAAAGCTACAGCTGGTTTGTTGGGATTAATCAACTCAAACCTAAACTCTGTCTGCCCATATTGTCTAGCAGTAACAGCAGAGACATGCCTTCAAGTGGATATTTTTTTTTGTTTTTTTTTGTTTTTTTTTCCGGTACCGGGAATCGAACTCATGACCTCATGCTTGCCAGGCAGGTGCTGTGCTGCTGAGCTAAATCCCCAGCCCCCTTTTTTTCTCTTTTTTGTTTTGTTTTTCCTTAATGGTTTGTTCTTGTTTTTATGAATATGAACATGGTTTCTAGATTTTTCTTGGTGGTTCTGCCTTGAGAGAACTATTAGCTCCTGTTCTTTTCATTGGCCTCGTTCGTTTTAGATTTTGTTATAAAACAACATAGTAATAATTATCTCAGTTTGTCATTTTCTAGACTGTGTTTGACTGTTATTGCTGACTGTATCACTTTAACCAAAGTGACGAAATTGCTTTAACCACTTGTTCTTCCTGGAATGCCAACACTGAGACTGCCTGAGAGGCATAAACAATATACAGGCCAGTTCCAAAGAACCAGGGGCGGGGCCAGTCTGTCACAGTCTCATTTTCTAGACTGTGTTTGACTGTTATTGCTGACTGTATCACTTTAACCAAAGTGACGAAATTGCTTTAACCACTTGTTCTTCCTGGTATGCCAAGACTGAGAATGCCTGAGAGGCATAAACAATACTACAGGCCAGTTCCAAAGAACCAGGGGCTGGGCCAAGTAGACAGCAACTTCTGATACCCAGTGACATGAAGAGGTAGGATTTTGCAACAGACTCAAAAACCCAAAGGCCAGATACATCTGGAAGACATCTCTCAAAAGTAGTCATTTCCTAAGCGTTCTAAATACTAGCAATAAAGCTACTCACTATAGGTAATTTACAAGCATTAACCCAGGAACTACACTAAAAAAATACAAAATGAGAAGACACTTAAACAAGATGGAATAACAGACTTCCAACTCATCAAAGGCAAACCTAGGGGACAATGACGTGGAAGAATTTGAAAGCAATCCACCTGGACGCTTTGAAGTGGTAACAATGGAAGTAACAAAGAAAAGAAAGAGGCTCTAGAAAAAAATCAAATTAGAAATAATTTCTCCGATAACTACAGAGATGGTGACCATTGTGAAAGACATGCTTAGTGAGTCTAAAGCAGATACAGATTAAAAAAGTAGAAGTGCTTAGGAAAATGATAGAAAGAAACCATGAATGCCCAACATAGGAAAGAAATGAAATCTATGAAACAGATTCAATCAGATATCCAGGAGATTAAAAATTCCATTGGAATAAGGATAGCTGGAATAGGTGTATTGCTGATGTCTGTAGTTTATTGAGAGGAACAGTCAATGCTTAGAATTTTCTGTTTTTCTTGATCAATTTTACACTCTTGAATTTGGTAATTAGAATGACTGATCTGAAAACAATATGCAGTATAAGAATCATTGTCGGCCATGCGGGAGTCCTCGCAGGCCTGGCACAGCCCCACCATGCAGGCGCCCCGCCCTGGGTGGCCACTCAGCTGGCGCCCTGCCCTGGATGGCCGCGTGGCTGGTCCCCAGAAAGGCAGGCAGCAGGCACCCGGGAAGCGGCTCAGAGACACACACCAGCCTTTGAGTCAGCCAACACTGCGCTGTTGAGAACCGCCATGCCACAGAGAAGCACCAACACAATAGGCCCGCCCAGAAACGTGTGTGAACCATCCCAACATGGAGAAACCTCTGGGAAAACATGCCACAGGGCAGGTCGCTCTTGGCCCTGCCCTTAAGAGCCAGAAAGGTCAGGAATCAGCGGAGGAGCAGCTGATAAACAAGGACTCGGAGAACACGAGAGTACCGACACCTGACGACCCAGAGGTTGAGCTGACTGGGGACGTGAGAGCCATTTGGGAGCTGGAAACCAGGAGGACCTTACGCAACACCCAGGGAGACCCCCTGGAGGCCATTCTTCACCTAACTGTGCAGGCTGCGGTGGAGGAGCAAGTAGAGCTCTGGAGAGGTCTGCACCAAGACTACATGGGTGCCCAATATTCAGATTCTGTAGAACCACATTCACAGAGAAGGAAGAGCCCCATGAAATCATGAGTATAGAGGAAAAAGTGGATGGCCCATTGCTGGACACTGGTGCTTATCTCTTGGTCCTTCTTTTCAGTCCTGGCCTTCCTTCCAGCTGTCATACCTCAGTGAGGGGAGTCACTGATGAGGAGGTAGCCTGCTATTTTTTGCAACCCTTGGACTGTAACTACTTGTTGGATCTTTCTTGCATATCTTTGTTTTCCTGAGAAACCACTTTGAGGATGCCAACATGCATTGCAGCAGCCATTGATGATTTCCTACCAATCTGTCCATAACTCTGTAATGTTTGTATTGTTCCTATGCTATTTCATAAATGGATATATGTTCATTACTATGTGTTTTCAACAACAACCATTGAGAATAGTCAATGATTATTTGATTGATCACTCATGTATAGCTCTATTTGTTTTTTCTAGAGACCACTTTGGAGAAACCAGGGTATTGAACAACAACCATTGATAATTTCCTGCCATTTCTGTCTGTAACTCACTATTATTTGTCTATTTGTTTTCCTGAGAAACTATCTTGAAGATACAAATAGGTAAAATAACATCCATTGATAATGTTCTACCACTTTGTCTGTAATTTGGTGAATCCCCCTATTGCTATGTTGTCCTTCTTTTACTCATTAAAATTTTAAAAAATAAATGAGGAAGGGGCAAAAAAAAAAAAAGAACCATTGTCTAACTCCTACCATTTTGTATGGTGAAGCTCTGCATCATTTCCAATGTCTTCTTTAAAATTATTTTTATAGTTTTTTTACTTGTTACTATCTTTGATTATTTGATCTTACATTCTTATGTCTAATGGACTGAGCAACTTTGTTGAAGATAATAGTATGTAATATAGCAATCACTGTAAATTTCTATAATTTCATCTTGAGGTCATGCATTGTTTTTGTTGTTTTTGTGTTGTTTTTTATTTTGTCTTCATTGTTGTTTTGTCAGTTTTTAATTTTTAAAATAAAAAAAATTTCATTGGAAGTATACACAGTGGGAGAAGGTATACACATTAGCAGAATGAGCCAATGTGAGGACAGAATTTCAGATATAGAAGATAGTATTGCAATTAGTTATCATGAAAAGAAAGGTTTCTTAAAAATAGTAAGGGACCACAAAAAATCAGTTCAACAGCTTCTAGATGATACAAAGAAGAACAATATAAGATTTATAGGAGTCAATGAAAAACACAGGAGCTAGTGAGAATGACACAAATAATCTGTTCACAGAGGTAATGGTAGAAAATTTTCCTGGGTAGAAAAAGAATTGGACATCTACACATAAGTGAGGCATCTAGAACTTCAATTAGCCATGATAAAAAATTCTACACCAAGGCATATAATAGTTAAGATTCCAGAAATTCAACAGAAGAACAGAATATTAAAAACTGTTAGAGAAAAGCAACAAATCACCTATAAAATAAAGCCAATCAGAATCACAGCTGACTTCTCAACACAAAACTCTTAAGGCAAGAAGAGCTTGCAGTGAAGTATTTCAAGCTCTAAAGGAAAACCACTTCCAACACAGATTGATGTACCCCATAAAACTATCTTTCAAAATTGATGGAGAAATATGAAACTTCCATGACCAAGAACACTCAAGGAAATTTATGACCATCAAACCACCACTCCAAAAGTACATTCTAAAAAGATATGACAAGACTTATAACTCCATGAATCCCAACAGCATGTACACATCAGCCAAGGCAAGTAATTAAACAGAGCAGGGGGAGGACAAAACAGGAAAATAACATGACAAGGATAAGTCAATACATATCAGTTATAA